AGTTCTTTTTTTTTAAATTCTTACTTTTTAAGTGCAGAAAAGGGATCACAAGTTCAATAACTCCAAAAAACACTCTAAAACTGGCGCTCTAATTATACAAGTGTTCATATATATAATAAAAACAAAGCTTAATTTAAAAAAAGGAATCTACCATGCACTGCATCTTGATATGCTCTTTCAGACAAAAAAAAATTAAAACACATCACATGGATCTGGACTGAGAAATTTCGGTTGCGCGTTTGACATGTCATGAACTGAGAAAGAACGAAAAAGATTTTCGGTTTTTTCCAAAAACCGCTTACTTTTCGAATACGAGATGACCGAAATCTTCAAAAGTTTTTGGAAAAAAAGAGGTGCCGAGTAAAAATTTTTGTCGTTTATGAGTGATCAGATCACGGGCTATATTCCCCTGCATTTATCTTAATTTCGATAATTCTGACGAAAATTGACTTTTTTTGAGGGGGGAGGGGGGTTGTGGGAGACTGTAAGTCTTATACAAAATTCTTAGTTTCTCGAAATATCGTTTCTTACAATGGAGGTGCGTGTATTGATGAGCGAAAAAGTGGCACATGTTCGGGTCAAATGAAAGCTCTCAACGCCAAACTAACAAGGTTAAAATATTAGCGGCTGTTGGCTTGCCTAGAGGAAGATATTTAACTTATAAGTGTAGGTGTAAAAATGAATCAGGAAAGGTTTTCTCCACTATTATAAGGACAAAACATAGTGTTGTTCGGGGCGATTAGGGGGTTTGTAGGGACCCTCTTTCATATGGCCCGAACAACACTATGTTTTGTCCTTATAATAGCGGAGTGAATTTTTCTAGTGATTGATAAAAAAATACCGTTTCCATGACCTACGGGAAAAATTCACTCTACTATTGTAAGGACAGAACATAGTATTGTTCGGGCCATATGAAAGAGGGTCCCTACAAACCCCCTAATCGCCCCGAACAACACTATGTTTTGTCCTTATAATAGTGGAGAAAACCTTTCCTGATTCATTTTTACACCTACACTTAAAAGTTAAATATCTTCCTCTAGGCAAGCCAACAGCCGCTAATATTTTAACCTTGTTAATTTGGCGTTGAGAGCTTTCATTTGACCCGAACATGTGCCACTTTTTCGCTCATCAATACACGCACCTCCATTGTTAGTGAGAAAAATTGAGTTCGAAATTTGGAGAAACTGACTACGGATTCGCATTCTCCGACCTCGATTACTTTCGATTGACTCTTATAAACATCTTTATTTTCTCGGAAGACTCTTTGCTTACAAGGGAACATATTTGAGTGTCCGTCAAGAATGAGTTCAAAAGCGTTCGATGTGTTAGAGACCTTGATGAACATCTCCAATATTAATATCTTACCTTCCTCCGGGTATGTCTTGAAAAATTGGAATATCAAACTTTTTCATTTTTAGGATTTTTCTGACTAGTACATATATTATGTTCTTTTTAACTTATCGTTAAATTTACAGCAACTAGCCGTTTTCTTTGGCACAAAGAAAATTGACATGAACATAAGTCGATACAGAGGTTCCATCTCATTATTATAAGTGAAAGTAGCAGCTGGTTGTTTTCGAACTTAGTTATTTATATCTATGCTTTTGAACTCAGTCTCAGGGGGAAACACTCAAAATATGGTCCCTCGTTAGTGAGAAAAATCAAGTTCGAAGTTGTAAGAAACTGACTACCGATTCGAATTCCGCAACTCGAATCGTCTCTAGTCAAGCTCTCAAAGTGACATCAATTCATGCGAACAACTGACTAGACATTTGTATGGAAACATAGAAGTAGAGCCTCAAACTTATTTTTTCTCATTGTCCTCCCTTCAGTAGAGCGCATGATCTACATCCCAAAGCGCATAAAACCAAGCTAGGTGTAGTTTTTAAGTCGAAATTTAAGAAAGAACGCAGATTTGCCCTAATTGGAATCGTTGCATACATCTCGAAATCTTTTGTAATCTCCTATTTTCCTCCTCAGGACGGGCATACATTCGAACGAAACATTTAATTGTATTGAGATTGACTGCCATGCAGGCATACGCATTTCAGATAGGGGCGTGATAAAGGAAAATTTTGATGACATGTTTTCAATCAAACCAAATACCAGGGAAAAGACTTTTTCGACGAAATATCTTTTTACAGAAGAATTTCTACAAAACGCCAGTTCAGTTGTACGATACATGAGTCTTTAGCTTCCAGCGAAGTGGAAAACATTAGTCTTTTTTGTTGATTCACCAAAATCTTGTTTTATCGTAGGACTATCAATAGTATGCATCTGTTAGCAAGTAAAAATAGGTTGTTCAAAAGAAGCAACACAGTGAAAATGCTTGGATTCCATGTCGATATTTCCCTCGATATCTTCTCATTTCTTCCGATATTCGTCGACAAACGCTTTTTATCGTAGTTTCTCATCAAATCAGAATAGGTATTAGTAAAATACGCTCTCACCCACTATGACCGCCGTTTAATTCGAAAATAGTTTCAATTGATAGAGCATACAATTCTCCATTCATGAGACCCCACTCCGACCCATTTCTTCGAAAAATCTTAGACAAAGGAATCAAACATCATTTCGATGAGTTCACTCTCACCCACTCTCATCCGCTCTCACCCAGAACTTAACAAGAGGGTGTAGGTATTGGTGTGGGTTGGATCAGAGTGTGGGTGTGAGTGAGATGTGGGGTAGATTTTGGTTGTCGGTGAGGTGTGATTTGGTATGAGCGTGAGTGCGAGATGTGAGTATGGAACGGATGTAAGTGTGAATGGAAGAAGATCCATATCCACACATACAAATACGCACTCCCATATCCACACCTCGCTTACACCCACGGCAAACCACACCAAATCCCATTCCACCACACATACTCGACATCCACACCCACACCCTCAAGATGTGGGCTCGTCGTGGGTGTAAACGATGTGTGGATTAGTGTCCGGCGTGGCCGCCGTGACTACCAATGAGCCACAGTTACGGTCATAGCCGTAGCCGTGCGTGACTTTTTCAAAGATCGTGACCGTGACCATGACTGGAGCTTGGTCACGGTCAGTCACGGGAACTTTTTCGAAATTTTGGAAACCCCTGAGGGGAAGTACGGGCACTTCCGCGAAGCTACCCTCTCCCGATCATCAGTTTTAATAGTAAACAGCACCCTAGTCTCAATCCTGTTGATTTCTTGAGAAATTTGGCAAGGATCTGCTCGGATCCTGAATCTCCAAGATCTTGTCAAGTTTTTCTCAGAATCCCGGCTCAATTCCTGATATTTCCTGCTGTCAGGATTTCTCACAGTTGTACAGAATCCTGTTTAGGATTTCTTTTCGTTCCTGGCCAGATGTGTTTTTAGATAATGAATGCAGGATCCTTCCATGATTCATTCATGATCCTGCTTAGGATCCTAACAGGAATAATGGAGAGGATTCTTTCAAGCTTTTATTAATTTTTAGACAAGATCTGATACGGATCTAAGTACAAGGACCCAGTCAACTTTTGCAGGTAAAACTGAGGAATGTCTCAATAAAAAGCCAACAAGAGAGTATATCAGTGGCTGTTCTTGTCAGTTAATACAAGTAGAGCTTCTGTTCACATCCACAACCACATTCTGTTTTCTAAATTATGCCAAGTTCAACAACAATGGTAATCTGTTCAGGATCCTGACTGAATTCATATAGAACGTGGTACGGAAACATCAAGGATTTCCCTATGGAAACTTTGCAATAGCTCTTTCTAGAAAGTGTTTTTCATGCTGAGAACCAGAAAGAAGAGCCGTGACTCACGGGCACAGGCTGGGCTCACCGTGACTGTAACCGTGACCAAAAACGTTGGTCACACCGGGCACTAGTGTGGATATGGGAGTGCATATTTTGGTGTGTGGATGTGGGTCTTCTTCCATTCACACCTACATCTGTTTCTTACTCATATCCCACGCTCACGCTCATACCAAGCCACACCCCACCCACAACCAAAATCCACCCCACATCTCATCCACATCCACACTTACCCACATCCACACCCTGACTCAACCGATGCCAATACCTACACTCTCTTGTTAAGATCTGAGTGAGAGCTGGTGAGAGTAAACTCATAAAAATGATGTTTGATTCCTTTGTCTAAGATTTTTCGAAGAAAATGGGTCGGAGTGGTGTCTCATGCATGGAGAATTTTATGCTCTATCGATTGATACTATTTTCGAATTAAACGGCAGTCAGAGTGGGTGAGAGCGTATTTTACTAATACCCAATCAGAATGAACTGCTTAATCTTTTCAAATAGCATTAATAATAATGTGGAGCTGGAAACGGGAAAGAAGTGCTTTTACTATTTTCCATTATTCCTTTTAATAAAGTTTGACGAATGGTGTTTTGCTTTCACGTGAACAACAATTTACAAGAGATCTTTAAAAATGAAAATTAACCACTATGATTCATCTGTCGTTGAACGATTTTCCATAAACTTCGCACATTACCAGCTCCGAAACCACTTGCACCACGTCGCTCAATGAGCTCTAAAAAGAATGTATCGTTGCCAAAGATCGACCGCGTAAATATTTGTAAAAGAGCTCTAAACAATAACAGCAATCACATGAAACAGTATATCGTTTAATCATAATCAATAAGCATACTTAGTCATTAATTTCGATGTTGTGTTCTCTGTTTTACAACTGTCCGCTTCATCATCAAGCAGAATACCCAGCTTGCATAGCTCAGCAGCATTTTCACCTGCTGCCTCAATCACCCGACCATTGTTCTCCTTCAGAAAAAAAACGGATTAATGTGTATCAGTGATAATAGTTCTAAGCATAGTCGACATACTTGAGAATAGTAGCTGGAACACGGACTCAAAAACTGAGCACCATTGGCTTTTGTCAAACGAACAACTTCTTTGATACTATTGGTACATGTGAGTGCAATATGTTGTAGGCCTGGTTGACCGTTATGCCTTGCAATGAAATTTGTGATTTGATCTGATGAGCCTTATAGAAGAAAGTGATGTTTGAAAATTTCTTTAAATCAACATAAGTATTTGATAGTTACCTGAATTTGGATCAATCAATGACTCGGCAAAAACAAATTTGAGCTTTGATGCTGCATCACCACAGCCTGTCTCAGAACATTTCCAATAGACACTTGAAAACATGCGCATACCCATAGAACCAACACGGACAGTGAATCCTTGAAATGGATCGTCTTCTCTAAACAAGAAGCATGAGTAGAGATAAAACAATCAATCTTTTTCTTTTATCTTAACTTACTGATTAATGGTAAAACGTTTCATGCTCAGTACATTTTCATACCATTCTATAGCAACTTTAGCTGAATTCCGTGGCATAGCAAATGCAACGTGATCAATGGTACTCATCAAATTCTGATTTGTTTTCTGTTCTTGAGAAGAATCTATCGTTATCGGTAGGAACCCAGGCAAATAGGGGCCTGAATATTGAGACATATCGATTATTGAATGGACAACATTTCCAATACATGATTTGATGCAAGCATATTCGATCGATCCATACTGATCCATGGCTTTGCGACGTGGTACAAGTACCTACATAGAAACAGCAAAAATCAACCGTTTCTTTGGTTAAAATATAATTTCTAATTGAGTACTGAAGTACATGATGAGGGCGTGGGTATGACTTTATAGCAAGACCCAACAATCAAATCCCAACGTTACAGAAAAGTAAGAAAGGTCCTTAGTCGAAAAATTGTATTTGAATGACTCAATTGGAATATAACAGTGTCTTGCAAGAAGCTCTTTGTCAATCTTTTCCCTCTAGTTGGACGTAACGTGATCGAGTACCGTCTACTGTCAAACAGCGAATAACTTTCTTTCTATGAATCAAGATTTAGTTTGGTGTATATAAAGAACTTCCTAGCATATTAGTCCAACAGAGTATGTTATCTCATAGAAAGAGAATCAAATAGAGTTCGAATGGGATCTCAACCTCTTGTTGTGAAAATCTATTAAAAACCGAGCTCTCCATGTGTACAGCAAGAAGATTGGTCAAAGATCACTCAAGTAAGATGGTGCAGAATCGGAAAGACAATAGGGGTTAAAATAGTTTTTGCTCAATTCTGATGCAAGTGAAGACCCTCCAGAAAGTACCAGTTTCTCATGTTTATGGCCATGGCATGTTGGTTAGTTGATCCGAGCTAATGGTTCTGTTCAGTATGTGAGATACTTGTTTCAAATTATCTATAATGTGTATATGCACTTTTATATAACTTCTGATCGCGTGAAGCTATCAAACTCGAATCGGATGCCTTAACTTTAGTCTCACCCCCTTTCGAACTCCGAACATGTGTTTGCATGTTCGGAAATGGATTTTTGTGCTTATAGATGTATGATCGGAGATCATACTAGAAAACCAGGAAAATCGGAATGATGTGATCGGCTATTCGGAATAGAATGCTCCATGCTATACCTATGTAGCGTCTGGAGATCGTAATAAACAAGGTCGGATGTTCGGAATGTACGTGTAAGAGTACTTTTTACAAGAAAAAAATCCGAAGAATGGAATAACATTGACAGGGAGTTCGTAACGGATACAAAGACTTTTCTGTTTTTATAGACAACAATAGAGTTCATTTACTCAGTATATTCATAGTTATATGAATAGGCATTTTACTTTCTCGAACACAGCTCTCTATACTTTAGTAACTAGAAGAGTTGTTGCTAATTTTCGTCGTTTAATCTATTCATAGTACCGATAGATGGCAGTAGTCTCTATCGATACATTCTTTGTGGACCATTTTAGAGTACAATACAAACATGTCACTTCGCATTCTTCCAAAGGTGAGTAAACCCCAACATAGCTACGTACATCCTGCCTTTTTTATTTCGAACACCCTGTAATGTCCGCGCCAGAATTAAAGAGGGGTTAGTATAAATTGAATAACTCAACAACAGCAAAAGCTAGTCACATGCTGTTTTCACCATTCGAAAGAAGAGAAGTGCGGATATCTTTTCCCCGATTATGTATCGGACGAAATCCATTTTTAACTAATCATCTTCGAAAAACATGCAAAAGAATGCATGAAAATGATCTGCCATCCAAGTGAAAATTTTGATTGTCACATTTGATTTAGATAGAGG